GGCTAGGTAAGTTTTCATGCTTTTCCCCATGCGTCTCAACGCAATGGCTTTGCAGAAATAAACCGATTTCATGATCCTCCTCTCGAAGAAAGTCCATTCAGATTAATTTATAACTAGATTATCAGAAGTTGTGCAGCTAGTAGCTCGTAGTTATTACTGGTTCTTTCCGAGTACATCAAAACGTGTTTAAGCTTTATGCTTTTACAATCACGGTTGTGTTTAGGGTTCTGTGGTTCAAACATTTTCATCTGAATCTCGTTATTTTTCTGGTCTTTGTGGTTGGAACCAGCAGTCTTATGAAGCTGTACATTATTTCCAATTTATAGATAGATTATTATTTATATTTCACACTTGTCTGAGGACTGTGTGGCAAACAAATCATGGTACAATAATCTTTATAAAAAAGAAAAGCGTTCCATGATTGGCTTGTGGGCTGAGTACTGCCAGGTTGCTCAGGCCAAGGCAGGTGAATTCTCTTGAGGAATCCACAACCAGAGCCTTTGGCTAGCCAAAACCTGACCCGCAAGGCAGCGGGGCGGTGTGTGAAAACCACAATCCATTGGGAACCGGTGTCCATTTCATCGGATCATACGCCCTTCGGACGGGGTCAGACGTCCAAGGCGCCCAATACACCTCGATACCCAATTAAGCTGGTGACCACTGCCGCAACCGAAAANACCGAAAAGGTGTGGATGTGGTTTGTACGCCTCCTCATGGTTGGTTTGGAATCAGGGTTTTTGGCCAACTCCCCTAGGTGAACTGCCAGTGGTTCACCAACCCGGCTATAGCCCCGGAAGTCGGCTTTTCGTCCTCTCACTTTGATGAGAAAACACCGCCGCGAGAAGGCAGTGAGTATGGCTTCCTCAGCAGAGGCTATTTGAGACACTTGGTCGTATGGGAGCATTTCGTGAGGTACAACGACTGGGTGACCAGCCGTAACTCAAGACACCCACCCCCGACCATACTGAGGCTTTTGGAGATGGATGTCAAGTCAGTGATGGAATGTAGTGAGAACTTATTATACTCATTTGGAATACATGGTTGGACGACTAAGGGTGACCACACACCATCGGTACTTGTGCAGCTTGATTCATTGTCCACTGTTTGAAGTAGCATTTTTGTGTTTCGCATCTCACAATTAACTCAGTGTTCCCTGATGCGATGCTATATTATGGCATACGAATTCATTTCATGCATCATGTTGACGAACTAAAAGTTTTCAGTTGATATTTGAACGATTGAAGCTAACTCCAATGTAATATTGAACCCCGCTTTCCCCTAGAGTTCGCTACCCGACTGATGGTCTGTACACAGGAAAAGTGGATGCTATTGACGCTCTACGTCACTGCTACCGCGTGACCTTTGACAAGGTTGCCTTGGGTACTCGGTCAATCCCAGATTACGAGGTTCTCAGCCTTTTCCCTCAGGAGACAATCCCGTTGTCGGCCTATAAAACGCAACACAAGGCGAGCAGAAACCTATTCATGAGTCCAGCGCGCTTGCTAGCACAGTCTGCTTTGCAGGTGCGTCAAATTCTTTCCTCACCACGGTCCATTGCTGGTAATCCAAATTCTTCCGTTCGTTTAATTCTCTACTTAGGCACCCTGAGTACTAGGCTCCCTTATTGCTAATATACCAGTCTCACTTTTGCACAAGTCAACTGGTTGTTTCATCTTGATATGTGACTCAGTGTCTTCTTTTTACCTATTAGTCTCGTATTTACTTAAATTGTATGCAGTCCCTGGATGACTTGTCCCTATCTGTTCTTGCCTTAGGGAAAGCGCCACCACATGCATCATCATAAGTACGCACATGGACTCGCTTCTGGTGTTGGTGGTCCTGGTGACGTGCATGTTAATGACTGCCCATTATGTCAAGCAGAAGCTTCAGCCTCTGGAGGAGCAACCGTCAGGACTACAATATCATCAGGATATGGAACCAATAGCAATCTTTTGTCGGCGCCTCTCAAATTACCTGCAATCAGCAGCGGTGATGTGGCTGCATCTATGGGCAGTGCGGCTCTGGCGTTGAGTGAGCCGTCATCAGGTGGTCGACTGCTTTTGAATGAGGCGGATATTTATGGCGGATATCCAATGAAGTTTTTGGTGATGGTGGTATGTTGAATATCTATGCTGTTTTATTCCTGCTTATTTTCATTATCAGCGTGTTTCCTTTTTCCAAGCTAACACAGCGAAACCGATAAATCACTACTGGAGATCAGCGTCGTTTAGTCTCTGAAAATTGTTCTTACAATACCATGAAGGTGTCCTCAGGGGTATGAAGTCGACTGATTTTTACGCATGAACAAGTCCCGTTGAAATCAGTTAAACACAAGTGTGAAGTATCCTTTCTCATCAACATTAAGAGACCGAACTTGGTGCCATGACTTGTGCACTTCTATGGCCCAAGCTAAGCTATCCTGTCATGTCTCTAAGATCAAGGGGTAGTGCTCAGACAAATTTCATTCGTAGTCCTCCAGGTTGGGGGTTCGACTTGAGTTATATTGTCAGTTGGTAAAAAGGTAGAGGAATAATCGATCCAAGTAAATGAGTATTTACTTTACCCGCGGCCAGGTTCTTGTTAGAACTGCAGGCCCTGGACAAGAACACTCATCGTTCTCGTGTTTAGTGACTGAACATCCTGGCAGTACCCGTCAATCAATACACAAACTGTAAATAATTCCATACTGCATCAGTCGTCGCACAGGATAATCAGGACCGCGCTGCATCAAGCGGGGTGGGTAGGGATAAGTGGGTTACCGCCCAGACGTCCCAACTTTTATTTAACTCCTTGTCTTCTTGACATAAGCCTCCACTTTTCCCTTCTCCATATTCCTCACATTCCGTTGGACAACTTATTTGCCGCTCACCGAAGATAGATGCCAATCAGCGCTTTAGGATTGCCTTTGTTCCAGGGGACGGTTGCGATTGCCTGAAACCCTGCACCTAACCTCAGAATTGTTCGTCCGGTTTCCCCACCAGATTCGTACAGTTCTGAACGACGTAGATAGCGTCATGACCGAGTCTCAACACCATAGAGCAAGACTGCCTAACTGCCGCAGCATATACTCGACGCTCTACAGCCGGCCAGATGTCATAAAGGTGCCTCAGACGTCTCAGGTTGGTCACTGCTTACCGAGCTCTCTGTATGCGTGCTGACGCTTCATCTGTAACGCGTCCGCCAGGTAGAATATAGCTCCCCAAATAACAAATATTGTCTACTTCCCCTACTACTTCCCCACTTAGAGTGAGGTTGAGAGATGGGCAACCCCGATCTCGTAGCAACATTTTACACTTTAAAGATACAAAGTTCATACCAAACATGGCTACACCAGCACTCACACTATTCAGAAAAGTTTGCGACTTACCGGTATTTTCATTTAGCAGCACAATGCCGTCTCCATACTCCAGATCAGAGAGTCTACCTCATGGGATCAAATGGGTTCCCCTATCCTCGCAATAGGATAGAGCTGCTTAAATGATTAAATCTGTAAAAGTTAGAAAAAGGGATAGAGAGCAATCCTATTAGTATAAAAACTTCGCAAAATCAAAATAAACTTCTCGGGCACACCCTTTAGAAAGAGAAAGGCAGCGACCAAGTTTAGAACGATCGACTTATTCGAGAGCCGTTTACAAACCGGGGAAGATAGAAATGATGGGTCTACAAAAGGAGTGTCTGTGTTCTAAAATTTCGCTAAGGGTTACCTAAATGTATTTGATGGTTGAATCATATTTCACGTGTTTGAGTTCATGTCTGGCTGATGTGCAAAATACTACCTGGGTAACCAGGCTAAAAGAGGTTAATTTTCTTTGTGTGATTCACAGCCGAAATCTCGAGCTATTCGAAGCCTAACCAAGCCGATGGCGGGGTGGTGTGCAAAAGCTGCAGTCTATCGAAAGCCTCTTATCCGCTTCATCTGAGCATACACCCTGAGGGATGCCCACACAGGTACTGGTGTAATATAAACGCATCGTCGATTATATAACCGGTTGGTTAAACATATTCCAAATTGGGTCCAAAGTCAGGTGACGCATTCTGGGTCAAGTCTGCGGCATCCAAACAACGGTCGAAACTACAGGACTCCGTCATCAACCAAAGCTCGACATATTCTGGTGACGCACTTGATTTTAATACAGCCGGAGAGCAGAAGACTGAAAGACAGAATTGACCTCTACTCTCCAATCCTTCAAGCGTGCTAACATTGACTACTACTAATAGTGATACTGGATAATGTAGTTGGTTTAGTCATAGAGTTGTGTCGAAAACCTGTTTTTAATCTTTGTAAACTGTTTCACCCTCATTTTACCCATTTGTTTCCATCTAATCAATTAAAATGCTTCATTGTTTCGTCGTTGGCACCGTGCTCGTATACAAGCTAATTTTATATATTGCAGTATTAAGTGAATAGCTAGACAAGATTACCCTTGAAACAACCGGTTTCGCGGTGCTTGTCTCTCTTCAGGTGTACGTATCCGGTAATCTCTCACCTGGTCATCCATGTACTGAAACCATGTATGCGTATTTTCATCAATTTATCATCACTGACAGAGTGTAGTTTTCGCAGCATATCCGCGACTAGTACGATTCACTTCACTGCATTTTAGCCTACATTGAGAGCAGATTTTAATTCCACTTCGATTTCCGGTTTTAGACGAAACTCTCAAAAATACTGGAAGTAAAAAAACGCTGTGTTGATGAGTTGCAGGATTTGAATGATGAAGCGGAGAGAAAGGTACGTTCTCTCTTTTCTGACATTTCTGAAACGGAACGTTTAGATTTCCAACAAAACCGATCTATCTTTGGAATTTCAACATACC